ATGTCATAGGACAAACACCATGTCCACCTCTAAGGGACACCAGATGCAGGCTTAGTACAGGGGCAGCTAAGGAGATCATTTGGTCCAGGTTTTGCTTTGTCAAAGGGCCTCAAAATTAAACTATTGCTGCCACCCTCAGACGAGGGTATACATTTAGTATACATTTAGTATACCCTCATCTGAGGGTGACATACGAGATGTATGCACTCATCAGATAACTTTATCAGGTAACTCACATCCCACAATTATTCTTCACTACACTTTTTTTTTGGTGGTGGTAGTTTTTGGCGGCGGCCGGGTTTGAACCCACCACCTCTGGTTTATGGGGCTGGCGCCCTACTCCTTGAGCCACAGGTATAGCCTTTCACTACACTTTTATGTGCTTGTCAAAAGCATTATTTGTGTTAAATTTCTGTAACCCAGTTTTAGCATTTTTAATATTGTGAGAGCCTTCCCAGTAGCCCAGGGCTCTTTCTACCTCTGAGAGGCCCTGGGAAGTATTCAACGCAAGGTGAACTCCAGGGAGGTATTTGCTGAACCCCCTGTTCAGTCGCTCCCTCCTGAGCTCAAGTACAGAGCCTGCACCATGACTTCCATACCCACCTACTGACTGATTCAGTGCCAGCCCGTGAAGCACCAGGTGCGCCATGGTCACTTCACAATCAAGAACATCTTGGTCAAATCTAAAGAACCACAGCTCGAGAGCTACAGCAAACAAATATACCGAGCCCCACCCACAAGAGGTCAAGGAAAGCAAACAGGTCTTGGAAACACGCCTGGAATCCAGGACTCCTAACCTCCTTTTAGACCAGCTGGTTCGTCCAGGTGGTTTTGCGGTTTTGCTTTTGTTTGTGGCGGTTAGCGTTGCTCTGGTTTGATTTGTTTTTAAAAAGCAGCTTCCCCATCTGCCTCAGGAACTCCCAGGCCTCTGAGGCCTGACGGGCAAAGATAAAGCTGAGCGGAAGTTTGTACTGAAAGGCTCAGAGGAACCTTTGCAAGTTAGACTCCCTTAGAGAGTACACATTCCTTGCCGGGTGACTCTCTTTTCCTGATTTCAGAGCACTTGTCCAGGACTAACTTATGTCCAAGAGGCAAGTAGTCAACTCGGTGTTGCCAGCCACAGCCGGTCCCACAGTTAAGAGAAGTGGTTTGTGAGCCAGGTTAAAAAACGGAGAATTCACTAGATGTTTGCTTCCCTTTCCTCCCCCTGGCCTCCTCCCTTATCTCCATTAATTATTTCCTCAGTCCCACAAAGCACGTTTAACAGTTGAGAGAACAGTGGCTCATGGCCGCTAAGAATAGGGTCTGTATTAGAATTCAGTTCTATCTGAACGCCGACGACGACAACAAAAATCATGCTCTTTCCCACCCTCTGACGTTGAGCACCAGTCACATGCTAAACTCTCCCGTTCCTGGGCTTTGGCTTACGAAAGGGTGACTCCTCTGTCACCTCCCACTGAGCAGGAATCACAACTACAGAAGACAGCACCTGTCCCAGCAGCCAGTGCAGACCGAGAATGCCGCCCCTCATTGCATCTGTCACTCCACCACCTGCCAGGAAGCCCGACCAGCACGTAGAGGAGTAACCTTGGCAGAGTGGCTCCATTTCACTTCCTGGTTCGGTAAAGCCGGGCATCACCTTTACGAAGGCAACCCCATGCCGCCTCTTCTCTCATCCTCGATGCAAAAATAGAAAGGACATTCAGAGGTAGCTGGCCCCGAACTGATAGGGCTGGTGACAGCAAGAAGGGAGGGTCTCTATACTCAGGGACGTGAGATGATTACAAATGCATTCGCTCTTCCTGGAAAAAAAAAGGCTAAATTTCCCCAGTCTTAATTACTACTCACCGGCGGTGTTTCCTCCAAGGTTCACTTATCAGAGATTTCTGAGAAACGACCTGGGTTCTCCGTGCAACCCGGAGGCACAGCCTCCCTAATTCCTACCTAACTCCGAGCTGCCGGGGTGCTGCAGTGTTTTGCTTTCAAAGGCCATGATTTGATTTGTCGAACTTCGTGCCAATCAGAGGCTGTAGGCATTTCGCGCAGGCGGGTGGCTGGGAAGGAGGGGTGGGCGGGACAGCCCCCGGGACTGGCTGAGCTGCAAAGCTTGCTTGCAGTGCAGCGGAGCCACCTGGAGACCCAGCTTGGCGCACACCTGCAGGCGTCCCCTCTAGCGGCCACAGGAAGAATCCTTCAGCAAGCCCACTTCGCCCTTTCCCGCTGTCTTAGCTCAGGTGATCGCTTACCTCCACCTGCCCGACAGGTGAGTTCAGGTTTAGTAGCCTGTCAGCATCCTCCCTGCTAATCCTCACAGCCACCTACCGGGCTTTGCTCCCACTTTCTCCCTTCCCCGCGCTCTCACCACATATTCAAATCCTAAACGTCCTTCAAGACCCAGTTTCCCCTACATCCTCCCGAGTACTCGCGGCCATACATTTCCTTCCCTCCCGGAACACCTGTTGGCTGTGGTGTGTGCCAAACCTCCCAGCATCTGGGAGCCTAGCATCTGATCAGCGCTTCCATAATGGATCGCTGTAATAATTAGCATGTGTATGGAGCTTTACAGATGACAAGCTTTTCATCACTTAACACATTTTCATGTGCACTGATTTCGGAACCTCACAGCAGGGAGTAAGACGTGGAGCCCATGCGGGTCTTACAGATCAAGAAATCCT